AGACCTAAAGATACGCCGTGACTCGGAACACTCCATATACATTGTGTGAACTTGATTGATTGAATATCACTTCCAACAACGCTGTGTTTCAACAGCCCCTCGAGCTAGTCCACATGGACGTCTGCGGGCCAATGCCAGTAGCCTCGGTAGGGGAAAGCCGGTACTTTGCCACGTTCTTGGACTACAGCAAGCTCTCGTTTGTAGTCCCCATGAAGCAGAAGAGCGAGGTGGCCAAGGTCACTGAGCGTGTGGTGAACTGGTTGGAGCTGCAATCGGAGAAGAAGCTCAAGTCGGTACGGACGGACCGGAGCAAGGAGTACGTCAACAAGGCCGTTGAAAACGTTTTCGGGGGCAAGGGGACGGTACACGAGAAAACCGCCCCCTATAGCGCCGAGCAGGATGGGTCGGCGGAGCGGCTTAACCGGGATTTGGAGGAGAAGACCCGGGCAATGCTTGAGGACTCGGGGTTGGCCAGAGAATTGTGGGCGGAAGCCGTGGTGACGGCCAACTACACCCGGAACCGGACGCCCGTGAGCGCCCACGGGAGGACTCCCTCGGAAGTTTTCGTCTGTGAAAAACCGAATGTCGGGCATATGAGGGTTTTGGGGCCCGAGCGTTCCGCCACGTCCCTAAGCTGCGAAGGCGTAAGCTAGATCCGGTGAGCGAGCGATGTGTGTTCGTGGGGTACGAGCCGGACTCGAAGGCGTATAGGTTGCTCCGGGATCGTGACGGGAAGTTGATCATCTCCCGGGACGTCATCTTTGACGAGGGGATCAGCGGGGATGGGGTTTTCGAGCTTGGCTCCGACCCCATGGAAGGTTCCCAGACGGCGGAAGGTCACGGCGCACAGGTTCACACGGAGGCCCATGAGGGGCCAAAAGTTGAATCTCTGCGCGAGGGCGACGCGGCCGCGCGCGCGCCCGACGACCCGCGGCCGCCGCGCGCGCTTTCGCAGACGGGCCGAAATGAGGGCAAGTTTGAAACTGTGCGCGAGACTCGGGCAGAGCCGGAAGAGATTGAGGAGGATATCGGGATGCAAACACCGGCTGCCCAGAGGTACTTTGCGCATGAGAGACGCGCACCGGGGGAGTGGTACCGCGCTACCTTAGCGGCGGAACTGAAAGCGGGGGAGCACCTCAAAGGGACGGGGGAGCACCCAGAACCGCAGACTTATCAGGAAGCCGTAGGGGGAGAAGAGAGTGAACTATGGGGGAAGTCAATGGACGAGGAGATGCGGTCTTTGTTGGAAAAACGGGACCTGGGAGCTTGTCAAAAAACCGGAAGGGGTGAAGCCGGTTCCCATAAAGCGGGACGCTCTCGGAAATGTGGAGCGGAACAAGTCCCGACTAGTGGCGAAAGGGTACCTGCAAAAGCAGGGAATTGACTTTGAGGAAGTCTACGCCCCAGTGAGCAAGCACACGACTTTGCGTGCGCTATTGGTGGTGGTCGCGGAGCGCGACTTGGAGCTGCACCAGCTAGATGTCAAGACGGCGTTCCTCAATGGGGAGCTGGAGGAGGAGATCTACATGCAGCAGCCGCGGGGATACGAGCAAGGTGGGCCCAACATGGTTTGCCACCTCAAGCGCACCTTATACGGGTTGCGCCAGGCGCCGCGTGCATGGCACATGCGCCTGAAGGAGGAGCTCAAGAACTTTGAGTTTGTGAGGCGGACGCGGCGCTCTTCACGGAAGTAGTAGCCGGGGAGCGGGTCTACCTAGTGGTGTGGGTGGACGACATCCTAGTGGCGGCTCGGGGAGCGGACCGCATTGCCAAAGTAAAGGCGCATTTGGGGGAGAAGTTCGACGTGCGCGACCAGGGGGAGGCGAAATACTTCCTCGGCATGGAGCTGACGCGCGATGGGAGGCGCGCACCCTGAAGCTAATCCATAAGAAGCTGACGGGGGAGCTTGTCGGACGGTACGGGCTAGCGAGCGCTCGGGCGCGCTCGGTCCCTCTCGGAACGGGGGACAAATCAACCAAAGAACGTGAACCCCTCGACACAAAGCGGGTTTCCCTACAATGAGTGCGTGGGGAGCTTGTTGTACTTGAGTGTGTGCACTCGGCCGGACATTGCACAAGCAGTTGGCTCGCTTGCGCGCTTTATGGCGGGGCCGAGGGAGGAGCAAGTGGCGGGCGGCGCTTGGAGTTGTGCGCTACCTAGCGGGTACGGCAGAGGACGGGGTAACCTTTGGGGGGAACAGAGAGACTCTCATCGCTTATGGCGACGCGGATTATGCGGGTAACGTGGACACAAAGCGGTCCACAAACGGGGGGCGGGTGAGCTGGTCGAGTAGGCAGCAGCCAACGGTGGCGGCCTCGACAGTGGAGGCGGAGTATATGAGCGCAGCGCAAGCGGTGAAGGAGGCGCTGTGGTTCCGCAAGCTCGGGGGAGATCTTGAGTTGGACCTAGGGACGGTCCGTATCTTGTGCGACAACCAAGGGGCAATACGGCTTCTCAAGTACCCAATCGCTTCACAGCGATCGAAGCACAAATTGACGTGATTCATCACTTTGCACGAGAGCGTGTGGCACGCAAGGTGGTCGCGTTCGCGTACTGCGGGACGGAGGACATGAAGGCGGACATCATGACCAAGGCGCTGGCACCGGGGACGTTCAAGAGGTGCAAGAGCGAGATAGGGATTGCATAAGTCATTAGTGTGTGGGGAGTGTTGAGACTCGGGCATTTAGTGGTGCGCGATTTCCTGGATGACGTCGACGGGAGTTCGACGATAACCGGTAGTTAGCGGTTGGCGGTTAAATGCGCGCGGGTTACAGCGTTACACCCGAATGACTTAATGAGTACCGCCGTAATGAGTAGGTTCGACAACAGCCGTAGATATTCAGATTTGCGCGAGATTTCCGGACTTGCTTATATGCGGTCAACTGAGCCTACTAGGCTATCAGTGTTAGACCTAGACTAGGAGTGTGACTCTAGGTAGTGTGACTCTAGGGTAGCGCCGCCTAAGACTCCGAACACTCCATATGTATTGTGTGAACTTGATCATTCGATAATTCATTCTCAACAACGCCGAATTTCAACATGCCGTGTAAGCACGTCGGCGTTCACTAGTCCAAACCCTAACTCGGATGGGACCTTGTTGGATCACAATAATTCGGCTGGCCATAATCACCATATTCTAACTCTCCTATTTAAACGAGTTCAACTCTAGTTTTGTGACATGTCTTCTTGTTCTCCTTGCGTGCCGCCTTCTTTTTATTTTGGCGTCCCCACGCGCTTCCACTTTCGTTACCCTCGCTTTCTTGATAGCACAATGCAAAGCCCTTTTCCGGCAACGTCTTTTCCACTCCGTGCTCCGGCTCTTTGGCTCCCACGGCTTCCGCTGTACATAGCTCCCACCACTGCCTGGTACCACTTTGCGGGCTCACGCCTCATTCTAGTAGAGAATCTCGACACTTCGGCTTCTTCACGGGCTTCTTAGCCTTTTGGCGCTTCACTTACGATATTCACACTTTCAAACCCATCATCAAATGCTCGCGCCAACATCTTCACGCCCTTGCGCCCACCGTCTTACACGTGTCTGTTCACCTCATTTATCGAAAATTGCGTCTCAACACTGTTGAAAGACATGGAAGGGGGTCGTTGTGTAGTTGAGGACACAGAACGAATGACGCACACATTTCTAAAAAAAGGAGAATTTTGGAAGCTTGCAAAAGCCAACCACGATCACCTAATGACACTGAAGGTCATGTTAGTTTTGATGGTAGCATAGCTGGGCATCAAGCGGCTTAAGAACTTAAGGTGATAACGATGGCACAACTAAGCATGGTGCCAACAAAGAAATATCATCGAAGACGGGCCCGTGGAATCTGAGCGGGATAAAAGACGGATCCTTGGAGTGCGATCGGGATCGCGACATCATGAGAAAAAGGGACGGAAGCGAATGTTGACAATCGAACGTACACTCAAATCTGTTTCATCTGTGTATTGATAACATGCATGCTCCGCCTATTGTAGTCGAAAAGGTCTCTTTCAACCCTTACTGAGATTGCCGCCCCTCTTTGATGTCCATTTCAAAATCCGACCACATTAGATCAAGTTCAACTATGGCTTGAAGATTTGCATGCAGCTTTTGCAACGGTTTCGCTTTCAATTTCAGGTGTACACGCAGCCGGCCAAGCATCCGCTAGTATGCGGGCATCTTTTGCAGCAGATCAACTCAAGCAATGAGGTCAGATCCAGCTTCAATATCTCTGACTGGTCCGGACTATCAACGGCCATCAGCCATACCGTTGCGCCGGCAAGATGATCTCCAAAACGGACTTTTGAAACACGTTGTGTTTGGAATGAATGATTGAATGATCAAGTTCACACAATACATATGGAGTGTTGAAATTCATGGTAGGGAGTCGTAGTGTAATTGAGGTATCCG